CCCCCCCCCCCCCTTGATGCGTATTTATGCGTGTATAGCAATACTGAAAAGTATTGAAATAAAAAACAAGCAGTTCCAACGCCCAAGCGTTGGAGGGCGCTTCTTTGACAAAGCATATTACTACCATCTTATGAACCTGAAGACCGACGAAGATGGAATTTAGAGTAGAATTCTTTAACCGCGAAACCCTTCAAAACTTCAGATCGACCGCGAAGATCTGATATTTCAAAACTTCAGATCTACCGCGAAGATCTGAAACTTTCCACAAGAACCTTGTGAAGAATCTAAGTTGGTGGTGAATGGAAACATAAAGGATGCAATGTAAATCAGACGACGGGAAAGAGCGGCGGAACCTCTAAAGCTGGTGCGTCAACGCGATCTAGCGGACAGCGGCGTCGCGACGCCGCGAGGTAGGGCGCGCAGGTCGCGGCTCGCGGGGGAGCGGGGCCGCGTGAAGAGGAGTTCAGCAGTGGGGAGGGGAAGCGCAGGTCGCGGGGAAGAGAGGGACCGGCCGGCCGGCGGTGACATCGGTCATGGATGAAAATAAAGGCAGCGCTAATGTCTCCGCTAACTGGAGTTGGGGGTCCTTATTCATTCTCTTGGTCCATGACATAACCTTAAACCTTCCGCTCAATGCCGCAAACAGGCAAACAGCTGACGTGTCGATGCTGCGCCAAGAAAATGAACCAATCACAAAGTAGCACAGTAATACGTCACTAAAATGAAGAGATCACGTGACTGTTCGTAATATTTTCAAATCGATCTGAAAGTACTGCCTCGGATATAAGTATTTAAAGCATAAGGAGGCCCTAAAATACTTTAACCAGGTAATACGTCCGTGCGAGATTGTTATGCTTAAAAGCAAAACATTTCACGAAAACTTTTACGAATACCAGATGCAGAAAAAAATCCAATTTTCCCGGGTGTACCAGAATGGCGTCATTACCCATAAGGCAAAAGGGCATGTAGTATAGTACATGTTACATCGGGGGAGTCGAACGGTTGGAAAGGGCGCATCTGGTACCCAGAAGCGCCCAAAAAGGCATAGACCCCCATAGAGAAAATGGAAGTATTTTTGCTGTGGTGAACCGCAGTGCTGTAATAGAGTCAATACAAGTAACCATGTTCACAACATCAACGGTGCAAGTCGGCAATCACATAACTCGTTTGCGGTGTCTAAAAATCTCCGCAACTATGTTATTTTTCTAAAGGAGAACAGATGGACATGATTCCTTGAAGTTTTTGCAGAATTTTCCTCGCACATAGAAGAAAAATCACGGAAGTTTTAAGTAATTACCGTTGAGTAGTTTTCCGTTTAAAAATTGAAGTATGACAGGAAGTCTGCGACGTCGCAAACCGAGTTATGTGATTGCCGACTTTCACCGTCGATATTTACATGTTCCATAGTTCCCTTTGAATTAATTCGTTTTTACACGGTTTCATTTGGGCGCATTTATGCTAAAGGAACTATGTTACATGCAAACTCTATGCATATACAGCTTCTTTTAGCACAAATACGTCAATTCAGCTATAATACGTAAAAATAGCAAATGAAATTAAAATATTAAACATAAAAGACGCTTTAATAGTTACGTCATAGAAAAGCGATATGTATCGAAAGTTATGTCAGAGTTATTACTGTTTGGATTCAATTCGATATAACGGAGAATCTTAATGGCAACTTCACCTCTGATGCGTCTACAACTGATGTGTGTTTGTTTTTTGGCATCATCATCATGTGTACGCAACTTCGCTTGTTCCGCGTTCTACCCACACTTCTTTCAAAGGCGAGGTTGCCTTTGCGCTTGAGGAAAAGTTAAATCCACTCGAAAATCGCTAGATTACGAATCGACGCAGCCCATGTTCGCGGATGATCAACTCACAATTAATGGGAAGTTGTACTTGCGCATCTGGTTACGTTGTGCAAACCAAGTCCTGGAGGGCTCGGGTCAGTCTTATGATAGGAGCGGACACTTATAGATGAGATGTGGAAAGGACAGAGGGGTGGGGTGGGGTGGTGCATGCCCTGGCATGAGTGTTGCGGTGGAGGGGGGTTGGCAGAAATCAGGAATCGGCGTTCACTCTTCAGCATGGCAAGTTGAAGCTTGGAGCTTGGAGCTACTCCTTTCCAAAGGAAAGACATAGGAATGGAAGAGAGTTATTGGCGAGCTTTTTTCAGCGCGAACGTCTGTCGGCTCCGTCGACAAGTTGCGAGTTCCGTTCCGCATTCGAGCTCCACTGGGCCCCAACAGTGATGCCACGTTCGTTTTATGAAACTAATGTGACGAATTTTAATAATGTATAAATTATGAAAGCCAGGGTTGCCAGCGGCCTGGAAACCTGGGAAAGTCAGGGAATTTGCAGCGACCGGGAAAAGTCAGGGAATTCACACGAAAAATCAGGAAATTTTGCGAGGTGCGTTAAGCAGTAGTGAGTGTAATTCAAAGGGGTATATAAAAATCAAAGTAGAAGTTTCATAAGTAGTCAAGTAGTTAGGAGAAGTCAGAGGATTTGATGATGAGAAAATTATGTCAACCCTATGAAAGCTCATTGACAGATCATATGAAAAATTTTAATTGAAGTCAGAGTGCAAATTGATGCACACCTAGTTCGTGGTTGTTGTAGAGTTTTCTCACTTGCCTTGCCATGTTTAACTTGTTGTTTTGACCAAATAGACCACTTATACGTTTATAATAGGTCGGGTAAAATGAGCTTTTGCCTTAAAAATAAATACCGATTAGTTAACTATATATCAGCTTGAAGGAATATATAAAATATGGGCAATGAGACAAGTTCCGCCCTAAAAATATAGGAGTTTCATGGTTCGTCCTCGAAATCCGACGCAGAAAACGATTAATACGAAGGGAAGTTCGATTGGCATGCCTTAAAATTCCTTTCATCGTAACGTTGAACCTCTGACTTAGGGGCCTATCTCTATTTTCAAATAAGTCGCAGAAAGCATAGAGTTACACAGAGCACAGGGCGCATATGGAAATTATGATACACCGTTTAGTTGAAGGAGCGACGACACGTTCAATTCTGAAATAACGAAAGTTACAACTTGCATTGAGACAAATTTTCATGAGAATGTCTTCCCTGACACATCTCACCTAAAATGGAACGTTTTTTAAAGTTGATGGTTTGTAATAAGGAGGCCACCACAACTCGAACTGCCCCATTACTCAGAGACTTTAACGCCATGATAGAAATGCAGCGACCAGAAATCGCTCGAATACCTTAGGATCTTGTAATACCTCGATAAAAGGGACAGTGATAAATACTCCAAGAGTAGGTGGTCGGCCCATAGTCGACGTCTGTCTACTCCCCGCATTCTTTGTGCAAACTTACTTGCAGTCTTTTGGAGCCTATATTGCACTGTTAACCGCAGCATTCTATCACGCGCGTTGATGGATGACGCTCTGAGGGGCTCATAGTTTCCCACAGTAAATCTGCGGTCACGCAATTTCTGCAGTTGCAAAAATATGTCTTCCCATAGTTCCTTTCGAAGAACCCCAATTAGCAGCGGTCAAGATTATTTAAAAACAAATGGAGAAAAAATAAGCGGAGCAAATAGACATCATGCGAAAAGATTCTCTTGAATGAATTGAAGCTTTTGTGTTTAGGGGAACAACCTTGATCTTAATTGCGTTGAGAGGAAAATAAATACACCATAGAGCGCAAGGAAAAAAGCACTTTTCAACGGTTCTATCCCAATATGTCGAACGTCGTGCCTGTTGGTCCATGACGCCTCGACAACTTTCGTGTTAAACCTCCTTGGCATTTTGACAAGGTCTCGGTATATCAGTTCGTGTTTGGGAGGGCAGTGCGTTTTTTTTCCTATTGTCTTTTTTTTTCAAATATCATCAAAAATAATCACTATACAATATACATGTTTTGAAGTAATACCAAACGGTGATGATTCTTAGTCTATCTAAGATTCACAAGCGCGTTTCTTCCTTGGGAGTCCAATATGCACTCTCGTAGCAAACTAAATTAATTTGATTCTACCAGTCTTGGTCCTTTCTTCTCGAGGAGGATATATTTCATTCTGCTAACTTTACCAGGATTCTCGTTATTTTTTGCTGCGCAATCAATTTTCATACCAATTTTGAAGTAGCTTTCCAATAGGCACGAATAATTATTATCTACTCTGGATCTACTTAAAATTTTCTGTGAATATATTTTAATGGGAGGAGAAAATTTAGAGAAAACATCGAGAGCAATTGGTCTACATTTGGCTATTCTACCGTGCTGAGGAACAACTCCGTATGTGTCTTCAAACTTTGCCAAATTGCCTCAGAAACATCACGAATTTTCTGGAAAATTGATACTAATAAACCAATTTTTCAAGGATTTTGTTCGTAATTTGACCTGAAGTGTCTGCAAGTTTCAAGGAAAAATATTTATGACTTTCCTCAAAAATGAATATTTTCTGGGAGGAATTTTGGCAACACTTGAATGTTCATACGGCGTTCTTCCGTAGCTCAGCAGTATTGGAAATCATCATTTCTAGCTCATTCGTAAAAACACGCAAAAGTATAGACAAACTGATAGTACATACATAGTTATACTTAAACTGAGCCAGAAATCGTAGTTCCTAATTGCAAAATGCAGTCCAAATGTTGATTAATTTTCTTTTAAAAAAAATCAATAGTGAGCGATGACTCGCGACGTCGCAATCTCAGACTCTATGATGGACGTATTTCTGTCAAACGGAACTAAGCGCCAATTTGAGTTCCTTTTGAGGAATCTAGAATACCGAATAGCGCGTTCTGTCAAACGGAATTAAGCGCCATGGAAAAGCATTGCGAGTATAGGACGGAACGAGCCCGACGCCCGTTTCCGCCGCCAATCCAAGCCTCCCTCTACCTTCCTCCCCGTATGGCGCTTAGTTCCGTTTGATAGAAATACGTCCATATTAAAATGTGTTAACAATTTATATTTTCTTCCAGGCACGACGTGGATGACCAAGTGCCGTGCTACAATATTTCCTGCAATGACATCGAACGAGTGACCTGGGGTGAAGTTCTGAAGAAAGGCAAGCAGTTTGCCTACGAGTATCCCTTCGACGCTGGACTATGGTACCCGAATGGTACCATCCGAACGAACCGGCTCACTCACTTCATCGTTGTGTTCTTCCTTCAGATCATCCCCGCCTACCTCATCGATTTCCTCATGCTCATCACCCGCAACAAGAGATTGTAAGAAATTCATACTCTAGCGCCACGTAGTACGTAGTAAGGGGCTTTCGAAACACCGCAGTGAGGATACGCACTCCCTGGTAAAAATTGGCGATAGGAGCTGCGTTTCAAAAAACCATAGGAGTTCTTATTGCCGACTGAAGAAGGCGATAGAAAATCATATAGTTGGCTGCATGTAGAAAGTGGAAAAAATCATACGGCCGGGCTACACGAAGCGATAAAAAATTGAACAGCCGGGCTATAGTTCCTGTCGCCGGGCTTTACACTTTATCGCCTGGCTGTTGCTTTCTCGCCATTGGCTATAAAAGGCTATAAGAAATTGTGTAGAAATTCGTGTGCTTCGTAAATCCGCAAGTTTGTACGGAATCACCATAATATTTACAAAACGCACATTATATTTTCCATACATATTTGTTTTCATCAATTAAAATGAGAATAATCCATACAGAGTGTGCAAATATTTAAAAGTCATGAATGGAACAACGCTTACTCCTCGAGATTAAATATTAGAGCCTAACACAAAGCGGAGCGGCGGCGCACTGGCGCCTACAAACCTAACAGGGATACTTCAGGCATTACGCAATGCGTGAAGTATCCCAGTTAGGTTTGAAGGCGCCAATGCGCGTTTCGCGCTGGCTGCCCGCCCGCCGCGCTGCGCCGCAGCGTACCACAGCGCTTGAAGCAACTATTTCACACCAGAAGTATTGCACAGTATCGTACAAAATTGAAGGTGCTCCAACATATTAGGAATGGCCTTCAAAAGTACGGAGCTTCCCTCGCAAAATAAATCAAGATACTACGGCCCAAAAAGAGAGCGGTAGTCCAAAAACTCACGAAGTCCTAGCATCCGTAATTAGTAACGGATAGCATACACTTTATCGTCAGGCTGTTGCTTAATCGCCATCGGCTATAAAAGGCTATAAGAAATTGTGTTGCCGGCTATAGAAGCTATTCGAAATCTTACAGTCGGCTGTAGGTCTATGGTATTTTAGAACACAGATTCTACTGCCAATTTTTACCAGGGCTATCCTAGTCTTACTGAAAATTAAACTTTTACTGTAGATTTTAAGGACGTAAAGTTAAAGTCTATTTCACAAAACGGATCTCACGAGTCTTCATGTCTCAAAAATTAAACACCAAGCAGCCCGTGACCAAAAAGGTTGAATTCACTATATTGGAAAGGTTTTGGAAGTGCAAAAATCAAAAGGCACCCTATGTGTGGAGTAAAAAGTATTGAAGAATAGTATAACTTAGTTTTCTGGTAAACATGGTCACGGAAATAAATATGTAATTTTTCACCATGTTATCTGCGTGACTCGATGCTCTCGACAGGTGACAGACCCGATCCGCCTTCAATTTAGTAACTATGCAATTTTAGCCACAGGAGAGTTGAAATAGTTGTATCGTGCCTTTTGCATTTGCGGACTTTTCCTTTAATTTATGATCTTTACGTGATGATTCTCTTCAAATAGAACACGCGTGCGTGTATACAATTTGGTCAAATATATTTTATCACATACTGATATTTTCGCAAAGATACGAATGCTGTAGTAGCAGAGTGCCGCTATCCCAACATTTTGAAAAGTTAAATATCGATGTATTCTTGATGGCTGATTTTTCATAAGTGGATTGCATTTTGCGATTTGGAACTATAAATTCTGGCCCGGTGTAAAAATAACGTATGTGCCATTAGTTTCCCTATGCACATAAGTGTTTTTTTCAGATGAGCCAGAATTTATAGTTCAAAATTGCAAAATGCAGTCCAAGTTAGGGTTCTGCCTTCAATGGCACTCTTTCAGTACTACAAATTAGTTTCATAGAAAGTGAGCTCGCGGGTTCATAGAAATTAGCTGGTAGAAAAAGAACCTCAGCCTGTACACCCAAGATACCAAATGACAGTTCATATTTATAGAAATTTAAGGAAACCCTGCAATTCCTTAAACCGTAGAAACATAGATAGGTATGTAATATCAATTTATCAGCTACATCGGATCAACATCGAAATTTGGACCAAAATTGTATGGTTCGAATGTTTAAATTTTCTCTAACAGTCCCCGAATCAGGAAGACCGGGCCGCACTGAGAAAAAGCTATGGTTTATAAACCTATTAGTGGTAAATATGGAACACCTATAATAGTCGTAAATAAACTAATGATTCTCGGTCTGTGAACCATACTAAGGTCTCTGTACCTAATTAAGGTACNATCAGCTACATCGGATCAACATCGAAATTTGGACCAAAATTGTATGGTTCGAATGTTTAAATTTTCTCTAACAGTCCCCGAATCAGGAAGACCGGGCCGCGGGGCTCGAAGCACGAGGAGAAATAGCAAATCGTTTACTCGCGGCTTTAGCAAAACTCGCTGTAAACAAGTTAGCGAATAACTAGGGGCGATTATAATTGAGTGGCATTTTATTTTTCAGCATGGTCCGAGTTCAAAACCGAATTTCAGTCGGCATGGAAGTGCTGCAGTACTTCACGATGCGGTCATGGGATTTCAAGAATAAGAACGTGAAGCAACTGACGGAGCTGATGAACGAGAGGGACAAGAAATTATTCGAGATCACGAATGCGGATTATGATATCGATACCTACTTCAAGGACTTCCTCCTCGGAGCTCGGCAATTCTGCATGAAGGAGCCACTGTCCTCCTTGCCCCGAGCGAGGGTGAATCTCAAGAGGTTAGTAAAATATATAAATTTTCAGACACCATAGTAACAATAGGTAATACACAAAAATAGCCCGAATAATTCACTTAAAAAACACAAGAAAGCGGACAACCACGGCTACAAAATAATAAACACAAAACTATGGATGTTTCGGGGTGGTTTCACTCCCTCCACGACCAGCAGGCTGATTATTGAAATTGATAAACGGAGCTATAGACAAAGAAGACGTAGGGAGTATGGAGCAATTCTATTGGTTAATATCGTTGGTTCTCATAGACTAAGGGAGAAAATGATGGACTAACTATCGAGTCTCTCGTGAGTTGCCGTTAGTTAGTCTATTACTTACCTCCTTTGTCCATTGCAACCACTCACTTCCACCAATAGGATCCGTCTATATCCCTTTTGTCTTCTTTGTCTATCGCTTTGTCCAGGGCCGGATTAAGGGGGTGGCCACATGGGCCGTGGCCCATGGCGGCAAATTTAGGGGGTGGCAAATTTTGCAATTTTTTTAAAAGTAGGTATAAAAAAATCGGATTCAGAGAAAAAATTATCAATGAGAAAAGGGGACAAAATCTCTCTTTCCTGAGAGTATAGTAATTTCTACTTTTGTCGTTTTTCGGTGAAACAAGATCTTTAATTAGCATCTTTAATTAGTCGAGATAAGAGAAGAACTAAACACGCAATTTGGCCTGGAGCTTGGCGGAGAGAGGAATGATGACGGGGACTTGAGATGAAAAGGACAAGCCCTCGGCGTGGCGGTCGGCATGTAACACATATTAGCGCCTACAAGACTGCATGAATACTTCACCCATTGCGCCAAACACAGTGCGGTTGGTGTGAAACGTATAGCGCCTACAAGACTGCAAGAATACTTCACGCATTGCGCCAAACACAGTGCGATCAGCGCGGCGCAGCGGCGGAATGTAAAATTATTATACCACATTTCCATTTGTTCTTCTATAATTTTTTGGTTCATTTCTTATAAATGGAGGAGCAGAGTTTCGCGCAATGTTGCTAGTAGTGTTGACAGGGCTTTTGCAAAAAATGTATCCAACACGAGTAGGTAAACGCGTCTTATGCACCCCTACCCCTCCGGCACGTTCACTTGATGGTTTTTACTGATGTTTCAAAACGAATGAGAAGTGGGCGGCAAAATACAGGCGACCCATGGGCGGCAAGTAGGTAAAGCCCGCCCTGGTTTTTTCTATAAATTTGAACAATCAGCCTGCAGGAAGAACTCGACCTTCGACTCGACCCCTTCCTCTATATACCATAGTATATGGCTATAGGTAGTCGTACTATATGTCTATCCATTGCTTGTAACCGTTAAATATCTTCCGTCATATTTTATTTCGTTTAAAGGAAAACTGACCCTAAGATGCCCTTGAAAGTAAATATGTTCAAGTGAGTGAAGAAAATTTACTTTTAAAGAACAAATACGGTTCGGTTTTCTTAAAAATATACCTATGAAAATAATAGGAGATCTTTAAAGTTTGCATTAGACATACACATTTTTAGGTTTTGGTCGATAATGTATAAATCATACTCTATCCCTTACGTTGTTCGCTATTCCAAAACGATGGTTTTTATCAGAGGCGTTTTTCAGCCGATTGTAAAGGGGATGTTTTCGTGTTGAAAGGGCAACATTCACCTAAAGGGGATTAAACGTAGAAATTCCCCCATGACACCACTGAAGTTGAAAAACATGGCCCAAAAAGGTTAGATTTATAGTTTTTAGAGTGATAAATGCCTGCTCTAATGCTTTTCTCTTTAATATTTAAATCCTTTCATTTTTGACCATCATAAAAGGTGGAAAAATGTGTAAATGACTATTTCTGTAAGGTAATTAGCTCATTTTTTGGTGGCGTATAAGCGTGTATTACATAAGTTGAGGAGACGTCTTTAGAAAAAAGGGTTATAGTATTGTTATACCATTTTCTTCGAGGGACAATCAAATATGATAAAATATTTAATTACATTCGCTGAAAAGAATCAAATTGGGGAAAAATTAAGTTGCCCTCTAGGCTTCTCCAGGAAACGCGCGATCGATCAGTTGGGAATGAAAGGAAAGCCCCTTCAATATGGTCTCCTGCAAATTATTCTACACTCACGAAATTATTGACGAGCCTGGCAGGCTTCAAACGGCATGAGCTGCACTGATTGTGAGCGATTCTGTTAACAAATCCTGTTCGATGTTATTTTTCGAGATGTCACATTTTTCTGCATCTTCTATTTATAAACAATGTTTAAAAATCATTCAGTGAAGCTATATTTTAAGAATGAATAAAATATGAAATAAAAAAATGTTAAAATGCACACAGAAAAACTTATTTAGACAAGCAAACACATTACACCTTATTGTTTTTACATGCACCTCTGGGTTTATTCTACTTCTTCCTGTTTAAAAATGCAATATTTTGTTTTATTTATAGGATGTACTACTTGAACGTCATCACTCAGATAGTGTTGGGACTGTTGGGAATGTGGCTACTTGTGAGGTGGTTGGATACTATTCGAGTAATGCTGGACTACTCTGGGCAAACCATGCTACGACTCCCAGTTCTCAACATGTTGGTTCCGAAAACGTAGAAAACCATGAACACAACTACACATAACTGTATGTAAAAATAGCGCAGCAAATTCTCAAGTGGAAATTTCGATGGCCGCATGGTTTCATGGCCAGAAATTGAAGACCCAAAATTCATTCTATACTCAATGTGTGATACCTATAATTGGACTGAAGAAAAATACTAAATTCTGATGGAAAAGTTCATAACATTAAGTCCACATGATGTATTAAACTTGGTTATTGCTCAACTTCATTTCAATTGAAAAATTTTGCGGTGGCGATATCATTGCAAGAGGTGTTCTCTAAACGTAGCTTGACAATTTTAAACTGCCATAGTCGAGTTGGCATTTGTGATAAAGAGGGTAAAATTATTTCCCTCTCGTGTTATTACTTGGTGTGAGGATAATGAGCGTAGAATTAGTGGCAGTATATTGGCTGCCTTATTCTTCCTCATTTCTGCGTATATGACTGACTTTCAAAGGAAAGATGATGATTTTTTTACGCTGCTGTTTAGATTAGGATGTACCCATACTGAAAATCAATCATGTTTATGTGTCTAATAACAAAGAATTTGTCCCTCTTTTTCTATTCTCTCTTTAACAACTCCTCTTCGTAGAAAAATATTTCTGATGGTGCTTTCGCAACTCCAGCACAGGGGTGAGAAATGTAGAAGCTACACCTGAATTTTTTTTAAAACTTGAATTTGGATAGCAAAACAATTTTCAGAGAGACTTTTATAATCAAAATTAAATTTTACTTCCCTATCCTTTTTAAGTAATTTTTTTTCTACCGAGAAAAATATTTCTGATAGGATCCTTGACCTCAAATATGCTTTCAATTATTTTTATGAATGACGTAGGTATACTATCATCCTCCAATTATATTTTACCATTTACTTATCAGTATTGTCCTTTGATTTATCGTTTCTGTCAGAGAGGCAGGCAACTTCAAATGTATTCCTCTTTTATGATGAAGTATTACAATACATTTCCATCATTGAATTTAAATAAGTTGAGGAGATGCACTTATTGCACAACTGAAATTACCAAATGAGAAAATCTTTTCCATTTTATACCTTCAAATACCAAAATAGTTTTAAGTTTAGTTTTAAGTTTCTAGAGTACAAATGTGTACCTATTTGTTAAAGATGAAGGCATTCATCCATGGAAATGCACAATTGTTGCATTAATTTGATCATATATTAACCGTTATGAAATAAATGTTAAAGTACCTAGGTATTTACTGTTAATGTTATATATCTATCATAATAAAATACTTTTTTAAATTTTTCCAATATCATTACATATTACTTTTCGATGACCAGTTTGAAACTTAGTTAATTTCTTAACTTGCGATTTTTGACCAAACAGCAAATTAATACTCATGTCAATGTCACTGGGGATATGCAAATCACTCTTTATTTAATGGACATCTAGCTGCGCTTATCGTGTGCATCTTTCAACCGAAATAATACAGCAAAATCAATAAATCCTTGGCTTGAGTAAAAAGATACGTGACTCAGATTGCGATGTCATAAGTCTCACCTCATACTTCATTTATAAAAAGGGAGACCAACAAACAGTTTCCTATGAAAGTTTTTTTGAATTTTCTTAGCTCATTTTAAACAATCACACGAAATTTCAAATGAAACGTTTGATTGGTTTTCCTTGGAGAAAACAGAACATAATAAAAGATTTTTAATAGTTGCAATTGAGATACACTTCACTTGCCTAAAGTCATCAATATACATGTAATACTGAGTAAATTATGTGAAAATCGCAGTGAAGAAGGTACATTATGTACGGAATCGCATAATGCGTGGTTTTGCAAGACTTTAAAAGAAATGAATTGTAGCTGGACCTTTGTTAGAATTGTTTATTCACTGTTTACTAACCGGTGCATTTCAGAGATATTTTTCCCATCTTCAGTGTATCAATGTAAGAAAATACAAAGCACGAATCTAGTTTTGTGAGAAGAATATGCAAAGCATAAAACTATTTTTGTTCTGTGTATTTTTTTACATTTATATGCTGAATATTGAGAAAATGTCTCTAAAATGCAACTGAAAATAGACATTGAATAAAAATTTCTAACCATCATCCGGCTACAATTCATTACTTTTGAATTAAGATACATTCCTTCACAAGTTTAATAATTTAGAGGTTATGAAATTTCAGCAGCATTGACATTGACTATTTGGTCAGGAGGTGTAGACGCTATTAGAGTTGCAACACAAATAACTATGTATATTAATTTATACCCATTGATAGCATTAAAGGGGGTTAGGCCATTTTTATTGCTTGGATCCAATTTGATAAGACAAAGAACCCTTATGGTGTCACCACTAAAAGCGTCTTTAAACTCATATAAAATCTATTCATCCAGATCAGTTAATAGTCTGAGGGATAATGCAAAGGTAGGGTGCACTGGGTGCAAAAAGATAAAACATATGAAGGATAAACAAAGTTATACTTTCAAAGAAAAAAAATACAAAGTTTTTAAAGAAATTAAAAAAAGGAAACTATGCACATACATACAGTGGCGTAAATCAGTCGCCATCAATTATCTAAAGGATTGCAGGTTTCAAAACTGATTTTGATTTTACACAGTACAAAAAATCACTTATGTACATGAATATTTACATTATTTATAACTTCTCTAGTGGGCTTGTAGAATGAATTGAGGCACCAATTTTGAGATGTTTCCTGCGAGTGATTGCCAGGCTAATCTAAAAGTTTTCACGGGGAATTTTTTAATGGAACTAATCAGCCAAAAGATAAGCAATTTCAGAATTGAGCTGATCTCTACATATAAAATATTACAATGATGGCTTATTGCAATTTTGTACAAAAAAAAGAAGTTCAAAAAATTTATTTACTACTTTCATAGATTTGAAAAGCAATGATGAATATTTGAAGTTTAAATTTGTAAAACAAAGTAATGCTGTGAATGGGCAGTGCAAGTCATGGGAATAAGAAGCCTCTTAAATTTCTAAGATCAACGGAATCTTCCTTTTTCACGCATTACATAAAACAGAACATCCACTGATGGGAATGCTGTTCAAAACCCAACTTTCCTACAATGAACAAAAAAAGAACTAATACAGAAGTCAAGAAGGTCTCCAAATCAATTTTGCAAGAAAGGAGTTCAGAGCGGAGCAAAGGAATGCATAAAGAATGACCTTTTTCTAAAGTCAAAGGAGAGATAAATTTGTACTCAGTTGAAAGTCCATGGAGACCATACATGCTTTGAATTTCTCGTGACATATTAAAAGACAGTCCTAGAATTACTGCGACACTGCTATTTCACATGGGCATTTATTCCTAGACTTTTCAAAAACTAGCAGGAAAGAGGGTCAATATCAGTGTACAGAGAAAATCTGTCATTAGCCAATATGCAGAACCTTGCACTGCACTTACAATTGCTAAACCTACGATGACGTTTAAATGAGAGCTATATTGCCAGATTCTACGGATTATTTTGGGTAAAAAAGTTTACAGATGCTTTTGCTCCCTTCCAGACTGCAATTGTGGATCAGTGTTTTCATGGCACACACAAGCACTACAAGAGCATGTTTAAGTAGGTCTAATTGCTGCCAAAATTCTGGCTTTATGTTCTTGTAAGGATAACTTGGGGAATCAAAAAATTGAAAAGTACACTAAAACAAAAACAGCTTGGAATCTGCTTGGCAACATTTATGTTCATACACAAACGAGCTCTTTTAGGAGAATCCTTAACTAACTCTTGTAGAAAGTTAATCTAAAATTGCAATTGCAAAAGAAACAGGCTGAAGTCAAAGCATGGTTCCTCCGAAGTTCCCTACTGCATACGATTGGAGAATCATCCCAATGCAACTCTCATTTGAAAGTCACCAAAAACTACATGAACATAAGATCAGAGTGAGGTTCATTCACAGGGATAAAGCTAGTCTACTGCTCGTAACTGGATGGATACACAGGGAAAAAAATTCATAACAGAAGATATGAAATAAATCCATGGAAATCAAAACATGTGATGAACTTTAGATAAACAAAAACAGATAACTTGAGGAAAAAGAGGCAGTACATATATCGACAAAGTAAATAAACTAAGCTGTTTCTGCTTTTACAAGGTTATAGGGAATGTCATTTTTGCATTGATGAGAAAAAATTTGCTACAAGGGAGGGTAACACATTTTGAGAAAAAGGATCACAATCGATCATTATATGTTTGGTGTAGGAGACAAAGATGACCATGGAATTTGAAATTTGATACACAAAATTGATGGGTACAAAAGATTGCTTAGCTATGGCCAATAAAACTGACCGTCCGTTACGGGAACAAAAATTAACTGAGCTGTACAGATGAAAACAAGGACTACGAATCTTACTGTCGACGAAAAAAAACAACATATTGGGGTCAACCAACAAATTTGTACCACGATAAATTTTTGAGCAATTAATAAAACAACTGACTGAAAAATTTTAAAAAAATGCTCTTGAACTTCAAGCTGTATTCAATACAGTAGTGAAGTTGACCGTTGAAGCTAAATTCTGAATATCCCTGCTTTGTCAAATAAAGTGCCAAAGACAAAAGCAAGAAAAGGTTGAGAACAGTGTCTGACAATCCATGAGCTAGTAGGTTTCTGCTGATAATTAGACTAATTTGGGGGTATAAAACATTCTGAAATGTATTCTCGGATAATTTTTACTAGAAGGATTGTATTTAAAGTTTACAATGTCATATTGTCAGACTTACGTTGTGTGACAATTCAATAAAGCAGCAGTGTGATATAAAAAAACTATAAAGAGCTGAGGAGGGAAGAATGACACATTGAGCTTCATTATAATAAAAAGAAGAGTACTTCAAACACTTACTCGGGATAGAAATAAGGAAACAGAAAAAATCAGATTGAACAAGTAAAGAGAAGTAATTTCCACCATGAACAAAAACATAATAAGAAATAATTTTTAAAAAAGAAGGAAAAAGGAAAAAATGCTTCTTTCGGGGAGAAAAAAAAGGAATAAGGAATTGGAAAATGAAATTTAAAGATACAGAAAAAAGTACAAAAAAGTACTTGGGAATTAGCATGAGTTGGAATGAAAAGTAAATACACCACTAACGAGAAAAGACAAAAGGGGTAAACAAAAACGGTTGTCAGGTATACATTAATCACTTTCATACCTGATTGAGACACTGGGACTTTGTCGCTGAAGATGTTTGCTATATCAGCAAAACTTTTCTGATGAGTCTTTTAAAGTAATTGTAAGCACTTGGTACTTTTTTAGTTCAAGGGTATTTCAAAAGGCACTTGAAGTGCTGGACGAATACAAAAATTATCTTCATTTAAGATATGAAAGTACAAAAAAAGTGTAACACAAATTATTTTGATGAACTCCGGTTTTTTTAGTACCTATGTCTCTTTATACCTCTAAAAGGCAAGTATTGTATCCTCCTTTCTTTTTCCATAAAGTGATTGGATCTTAACAGATTTTTTTGAAACTTGAAAACCAGGGCCTAGCTGATTATACCACAGTTTTAGGATATGCAAACTATCGATGATTCCGAAGCAGGGAAACATTTATCACGAATCATGGATTTATAACAATGAAATTTGTTTAAACAGCGCATTAATTTCCGCAGTAAACTTTGAAAAACTTAATAATGTAGGCACCACATGGTTACATTATGCATTTATTATGAATCTAGATTTTAATATCACAGATAACAGATATCTGAAGGCTAAATCGTTCGAAATTATCAACATGACTAACGGTTTGAACACGGAATGCAAACAAAATTTTAAAGGCCTCATTATTTTTGGAGGGTATGATTCTGGTAAGTTATGATTTTCTCATCATAAGAGTGCCTAAAAAGATATAATGATCCATGATTGGCCGGCCATGAGGTTTCTGATCATTTTAAAATCAGATAATTATGCTAGTTTGAAAATCGATGCCGTATCGATGTGGGCGGGCCAATGTAATCTTACAGTTCACATGAAGGCCGTGGAGTTTTTTTTTTTCTTTTCAAGAATGATTGAAAAAAAGAACGGAAAAAAACCATCTGATGATAGATGCAGATGCATTTTCATTGGAGGTAATTCTCCACTTGATCAATGCATAAAGTAGATTTTTGCTTCAGTTACAACTGCTATCTATTGCATTACGAAACACAAAAGGAAAAAAAATTGTGAACAGCTTCATTCATTCAACTAGAGAAAAATGTGTGACCCATAAAAAGAGGAAATCACATACCACACATATATAATTGGTCTGGAGGGGGGGAAAAGGGACTTGAGAAGATCAGATTTTAAAATATAACAACCATCACATTGGACTGCATTTATTCCTGAAGAGGAACAGGAGACTTCGCTAAAAAAACGCAAAGAAAAATGAGAAACTGCGGAAGGAGGATCTGAGGTTAAATAACCTAGCTGATCGCTATCCTACTGGGAGAAGACATAAGCTACTGGGTAGCCAATCAACACCACTGGACGAGACATATACACATGGAATTAAAAAAAAGGAAATCACATTAGATCAAAACTTAACAAATAATACTTCGACTATCAAGGATTATCTCCACAACTGGTGAGGACGTAATACTAGAGTGCTTTTCTTTCTCATGGTTACACCCGCACTGAGCTCCACACTTGGAAATACATGATGAGAGTTGATAGTTGACCGATGATATTGAAACTGTTGATGCTGGCACTGTTGGTAACCGAGACGATGCTTCCTCTTTGTCTCCGTCAGGCTGTGATGTGATAGATAATGGAGTTACTAAGTTAAGAGGTGATGAACAACTGGAAAGCCATGGGTGAGACAAACACTGACGGGCAGTTAGGCGGGCGCTGAAAAAAATCAAATGTTTGATTACAAATTGGATTTGCAAAAGTATGCCAGAGAATTCAGCTTAGAGCTCTTTCAGAAAAATAATATATTTAAATAAATACTGGCATTGATTTCTTCACAATGGGTCAGTTGCGTTGATTAAGGAATCGTGTTTTCATGCTTGATTCTTGTAGACTAGCTAAAAATAATAAGATCCGTCCAAACCGCAACTTTCTACATTCAATATTAACCGAGATATCGCCCTTTGAAAAGTCGAGTTTTCGACACCATCCACTGCGGTAGTGACACTCTTGGTTTCTACTACCTTGTTTTCATCAGCCAATGTGGTGCACATTAGCACTGCTTATTCAACGAGAAACTCGGATGAAAGCAAAGTGGAAAAAACCAAGGATGTGACTACTGCAGTGGATGACGTTAAAAACCCGACTTTTCAAAGGGCGATATCTCGGTTAACATTGATGGTAGAAAGTTGTGGTTTGGACGGATCTTATTATTTTTAGCTTTTCTACAAGAATCAAGTATCAAAACACAATTCTGTGACCAGCACAACTGACCCATTATTGATTAGACTTTAAAATTCGAAGAATTTGCTATTAGAAACATTCGAAAATTTGGAAGATTCAAAAACAAGGAGCCAAACAAATGAGTAATTAGAGGGTAAAAAATCTTTGAAGGTAACGAACATGTATGTATGTATGAGCCGCTTTTACGGCGCGCTAGGGCGCTCTGCGACGCCTATTCTCCACAGGAATCTGTCATGGTAGAGATCCTCCGGAAGCTGGCATCTCTCCATCTCTTCATGGATGCCCTCTACCCACCGTTTGGCTGGACGCCCTCTCCGTCGCCTACCTGGGGGGACCCACTCCAACACCTTCTTCGGCAACCTGGTATCAGCCATTCTCTGCACATGCCCATACCATACCAATTGCTTGGTCATGATATCGTGCACAATCGTCCCCTCAACGCCCATTATCTCTCGGACACGTTCATTCCTGACACGTTCTCTCCTCGAGATTCCAGCCGATCTTCGCCAGAAATCCATCTCGGTCGCCTTGAGCATTTCTTGGGTCCGCTTCTTCAACTGCCACACTTCACTGCCATAGGTGATAATAGGCTTGACAACCGAGTTATAAATCCTCTTCTTGTTGTCTTTGGAAATCCTTTGGTCCCAAAGGATCCCATTAAGCATGGCGATGGCTTTCCTTCCTAGAAGATTACGGTCCCGAATGGCCTGATCCAGCTTCCCATCCGAAGTCAGGTTCACCCCCAGGTACTTGTATTGTTCGCAACTTTCTATATGTTGACCATCCTCCAGGACTATGCTTTGCTGAGCGCCTCCGACTGACATCTTTTTTGTCTTACGGACACTAACCTCGAGGCCCCATTTGCGGTACTCCTCCACCAACTTCCGGGTCATATACTCCGCGTCATCGTGATCTTGACTTATGACTACCTGGTCGTCAGCAAAGCATAGCGTGAACAGTGTTTCTTGGTCATTTAGAGGGACGCCCATGCCGGCACACTTTCTTTTCCATTCCTTCAGAACGTGCTCTAGATATATCTTAAACAGCGTCGGTGACAGACAACATCCCTGCTTAAGCCCCTTGGTGACAAAAAAACCGTCTGAAAGCCTTCCTTGGCACTTAATTCTAGCAAAAGCCCCCCGATAAAACTGCTTGACTGCCCCAATAAGTCCTTTACTAAAACCAGTTTCTTCTAGGACTTCCCAGAGTTTCACAAGAGGAATACTATCATAAGCCTTTTCAATATCCAAAAACACTAAATGAAGCTCCTGGCCAACAATTCTCTTCTTTTCGGTTAACTGGGTAACACAGAACAGATGATCAGCGGTAGACCGACCAGCCCTAAAACCTGCTTGCTCCTCCGCCTCGAACGGGGTCCACTCCTCTTCGATCTTCGCTTTCAGCACTTTTCCATAAATTTTACTTATCGTTCCTGTCACCGCTAACCCTCTGTAGTTCCCACAGTCATCCTTCCTTCCTTTTTTATGCGACGCTGTTATCCAGGCCTCTTTCCATTCTTTCGGGATGTCATCACCGTCAATGCACTTCTGCAGCAAATCCCTGAGATGGTTAACCAACTTGCCAGTCCCACATTTAATTAACTCGGCTGGAATGTTTCCTGGCCCAGGAGCTCTTCCATTCATCAATTCCCTGATTGCTTTGACCACCTCCTCAACTCGAATTTCCATTGAGTGATCCTCGACTATATTTTCAGCATTCCCCGTTTGAAACTCTGGTCGTCCTTCCGTCAATAATTTATTAAAATGTTCGTCAAGCTGTGAGATTGTTATCGGAGATATAATGTCCCGTTTCATGTCCCTTCTTAGGCCTTTGATCAGCTTCCAGCTCTCAGCACTCTTCCTTCCCCCCAGGTATGTGTCAATCCTTGAGCAGTTGGTCTCCCAAGACTCGTTTTTCTTCCTGGTGATTAAAAGACGAACCCTCGCCTGGGCTTTCCTATACGCGCCGCGGGTGTCTGCAGTCCTAGAAGCCAGATAATCATGGTACTTCCTACGCTTTTCTTCAATTACCTCCTCTACCTCTTTGTCCCACCAGTAGGGTTTCTGTACATCCTTGCTCTCATTACACATACCCAGGGCTTCCTTCGCAGCTGAATGTATGCAACTTTTGATGAACTGGTACAACTCTTCTGCAGTATCGAAAGTTTCTACTCCCAGTTTCTCATCCAGCCGCTTCCTGTAGAGCGCTTTCACGCTTTCATGCTGTAAGCTATCGATGTTGTAGTGCACTTGTTCGATCTTCGTTCCTTGTGGCTGGCACTTCTGATGTTGCAAGGTATTCCTCTGCAGCCCATACTTAACCGGAAATGCAATCTCCGCCTTGAGAAAATGGTGATCACTACCACAGGAGAACCCCCGGCAAACTCTTACTTGTTGAACCTTCATGGTACTCGTTTGCCTGGTGACCGCGTAGTCGATGATTGACTTCAGCCCCCGAGTTTGCTGAACCCACGTGTACTTATGGATATCTCGATGTTGGTAGAATCCGTTCAGTATTTTCAACTCGTTTTGTTCACACATATCAATAATGCGTGCACCGTTGTCATTCATCGCCTCTTCACCGAAAGGTCCAACAACTTTAGAACCATTCCTTCGTCCGGTTCTACCATTCAAATCTCCCATGATAATGACCTCCCTTGTCCTTCCAACCCTCAGAACCTCGTCGTTGAGTTGCTCAAAGAACTGATCCTTTAGATTGACGGGAGCATCATCATTCACACCATATACTCCTAACAGGGCCACCTTGTGACCATGCAGTGTAAGATGCATTCTGATGATCCGCTGGTCTACTGCTTCCCAAGTAGTTATAGACGGACGCAAACTTTTCCGGATAAGTATGGCGACTCCTTGCTGTGCGCGTTGATCTTTACTGACACCACTATAGAACAGATCATAACATCCTAAGTTTTCTGATCCTGTGCCTTTCTTTTTCGTTTCTGTTAACACGGCGACATCTACATTATACTTTTTTACCTCCGATACAACCTCTGTCAATTTATTAGAAATGCCCTGTACATTCCATGTCCCAAAAACCATTGTCCTTTTCCGTAGTTTGTGTCGCAAAATCCGTTTTTTTCCATTATCACCGAGGCTATCTTTATTAGGCTTTTTAACATTAAGTTTTTTCCGGGTATCGGGGAGTTAGCCCGATGCCCCAACCCCCAACCTGGAGGACCAGGGTTTGATTTTGGAGTACCGTCTCCTAGACAGGCTGCTTTCACCACAGCTATGAGCCCTGTCTGCCCCTCTGATGAGTGGTTCATACGCCATGAAGCCGGTGACCATCTTCACCCCCCTTTAAGGCAGGGGCTACCAGCTGGGGTCCGCAGGCTTGCTAAACCTGTGACAGTACTGAGTACAGTCCCCCATACGGTAAAGGTAACGAACATAAGAACAAAAATAAAATGACTTTTTCTAGGATTTTTCTGGGGCAAAATTTAGCATTGCAAATACCAAGGTAATAGCATAGGTCATGAGCCTTCGGACTTACGATTGGTGCTTTTACAAAGCCAAATAACGAGTCATAATGTGATTTGAGATGCTTGGAACTAGGTATTGTAAAACAAATTCATAAGAGAGGCATTTACTTGCTTTCATAGGGTGAAAAATTCTTACCCTGGTTCAGGTACTAAGGTTGCATTGATGAAATCCTTTGCAGTTTGAGAAACTGAGCCGAATAGATCATCAGGGAAATCTAGGTTACACTGGGAAATATTACAGAATGTTTCTTGTTTGGTGTCTCCGGCAAAAGGTGAATGTCCACTGAGCAATACATAAGCTAAAATTCCCAGAGACCATACATCTGTGCCAAGTGAAATAGGTTCATAATTGAGAATTTCAGGAGCTAAAATCAGAAAATGAAGAAGGTTAGAAAATGGATTGAAAATATAAGAAAAGTTGTTTCAAATATTTCATTGTTTCTTCTTAAAACTCAAAGTCAAGAGGAAAGTGTCTGTCAACACATCCACGTTAATCTAACTCCACATAGATTTTTAACAATATGAGATAAAATTTGAGGTCCACTTCATTGCAAGTTACGTACGAACATTGAGGCTTTAGACAAAGTACAAACTAATACGCTTGGTTACATATTTTCTCTTCATAATTTTACGTAGCAAATTATTCACACAACAGAAAGTTGAGAAATCAACTCTTACAGATGATACATAACTTTATGTTCAACAATAGTCAAAAGGCAAAAATATAAATTACATCATTCGTATGATTCGAGTTCCGTTTGATCAGTGTTACGTGTAAATATTAATATCTCACTTAAGATTGGATTTCAGAGCTTCTCGTTGTATGAATCGTTTTCTGCGTATAATTTTAAAGCGGAAACAATTTACAAACTGCTTTGATTCAAACCTTGTTTAGTGGTACATTCGCAGTGACTACATCTATGGAGACAATCGACTTTTCAGCAAGAACACAGAGAAAACCTTTCCATAAAATTTTCTTCTCGTTCCAAATTTTCATGGAACCAACTGCTGAATAAATTAAGGATCAATTTTGAAAATATGTAACAAATGAGATAAATATTTGAGGTAAAAGTACACATACCTACATACTGATAGAAATTGGAATTGGTTTGAGTTTTGGGCTCAGGATAAATACGCAACTTTCTTGATACTTACCAACATAATCAGGGGTTCCAAGGATTTCTCGAACTTCTACACCGCTTTGAATGACTCTTGATATACCAAAATCGCAAAGTTTGATGTCACAATCTGGATAGTTGGCTGTTAAAAGTAAGTTTTGAGGCTGGAAAAAAGATTTAAACAAATGGATGGATTAGTTTCAAACAAGTATTTCAGAGTTTATTTATTTTTTATTTATTTCATTTTAGAAATTCATACAATGAAGCTACCTTGTGAGAGCTATGTGTACAGGTCGTAAACCTCCAAAGAACCAAGATGATAAATAGGATAGGTTCACTCTGCAGGATAGAAAATAGTACAAGTTTGTGTATTATCGTAAAACCTATACCGTATTAATTACAGATTACTTTGAAGCAGATTATCTTTGTATTGTTATAGAGTCTTACACTTGTATTATTCTTAACCATTTGATCCACATCAATAATGGAACAAAGCATACAGTTGATTCGACGGTTGCCATTTTTTGCGCCAGAGCGACGTGCGATATATCGCATCAATTCATTCCATAGTTTCGGCTGCTTGTCATTTTTCCTCCAATTTTGAGATCGCACTTCTGTTGTCATGAGATTAAAGAATTCATATACCGAATTTGACAAAGAAATTAAACATATTAAAGGCAGGGTTTTTTCACAGGAAAAATATAGCATTCGAGCGCAGTTTCGATATCAGTATTGAATGCAATATTTTTCCTCTGAAAAAACCCTGCTTTTAATATGATGAATTTCTTTGTCAAATTCGGTGCATGAATTCTTCAGTCTCATGACAACAGAAGTGCGACCCCAAATTCGAAAAAAATGACAAGTAGCCGAAACTATGGAACGAATTGATGCGATACATCGCACATCGCTCTGACACAAAAAATGGCGACCGTTGAATTACCTTAACGATTAAATGTGAGGAGAAAGAGAATCAATGAGCAAGTTAACAACTTCTTCACGATTTCAACCCTTAAAACTGACTTACTTTCAAATCTAAGTGGGCAATGTTAAGATCATGGAGATAAATTAATCCTTCAAGGATTTGCCGCATGACCCGGATCACCTCTCTTTCTTCGAGACCATCTTGAAGATCAACAACTCTTTGAAGTTCACCGCCAGGGACTCTGAAAATAATAACACATTCCTTTTAGACAGTGAGAAAAAAAGCAATTTTTGGTAGCAAAATTGATAAGTCTTAAATCTGGAAAAAAATTAATACAAAAATTGTCTATACAATGTTTGAAGCTCTCTTTTATAGAGTAATAATACAAAACTGGTAGAAGTTTTAAAAAACGGATGCAAAAATACATCAGGAGAGAGGGGAAGGAAGTTCATCGAAAGTTTGATATGTAAGGGGATAAAATTTGACTAATCTGTGCAAAATAACTAAAAGGCAACTCATATTCTATCACTTGAGGTCTTCAAGACGAGGTTGAAAAAGAATACATACAGCACTTAGCTGATTTTGAGTATTCAAAATGTGCGGCAAAAAAATTGAACTAATAAAGGTTCAAAGCAGTAGTTTCAGATTACGTAATGCGTAAAAACGAATGTAGCACATATTGCCCGATATCAGTCATTTTCCGATCTTCTTGGTGCTTTATGTTCTAATCTTTAAATTTTTGCTTATCAGAAATATTTTTTTGGACCAAAAAAAAAAAAAAAATCTAGAGAAATCTAATTTGCTTGAAAAAGAAATCAAACATATTTGAAGAAAATCAAAAAATATGGGTTTAAAAAAAAAAAAAAATCCAAGTATTTTTTTTGAAAAAAATCAAATTTTTGGTGCGAAAAAGTTCTATTTTTTTTTTAAATTGCAAAATTATTTGGTTTTCGGCTACTCATATTTGAAAGAAAAACAAAGTATTGAGCTTTTAGGCGATTCAAGGGAAGCAAAACCATGTAAAGGGAATTTTTAAATAAATATGTAAGTCTCTTACACACTACTTTATTGTCAAGCATGGCCTGAATTTGCATACTTCCGCTTCCACTGAATCGCCTGAAAGCTCAATATTTTGTTTCCTTTCAAGTAAGAGTAGCTAAAAACCTAAACATTTTGCAACTAAAAAAAATATAGAACTTTTTCGCTCCAAAAACTTTGATTTTTTTAAAACAAACAAACAAAAAAAAAATTACTCGGATTATTTTCTCAAAAACCGTAAAGATATACGGTTTTTTCATATATATTTGATTTCTGTTTCAAACAAATTGGATATCTTCAGCATTTTTTGCTTGTTTTTGTGTTTTTCACCACTTTGTTTCTACTGTTTTTTATTTTTTAGAGAAAACTTTCATTTTTTTATTTTTTTGCTAAGTCTATGCTCAAGATACGAAAGATCAACTTACAATTCGAGGACGAGGGCCATGTCTGTGGGGGTTTCGTAGACTTCGTGGAGGGCGACGATTCGGGAGCTCATTTCTGCGAGGCAGAGGACGGCCACTTCGTGGAGGATGTCCTGTCGGGTGTCCATCGACCGACGTCTCTTCCGGATGAATTTGGCCGCGTACTCGATCCCTGTCACCTTGTGTGTGCACTTCCGCACCGCCGCGAACTTGCCCCTGCAACCCCAAAAAAACATCCAACTCAATTAGCGTCCCCTAACTGAATACATACATTATATAAACATGATAGCTTGGTTGAAATCCCTAGGTGAAACTTCCACAATGCACTGGAAAAAAAACATTGGATCTAGGGTCCAGACTCTTAAAAACATCGACTAGAAAAAATACTCTTGATTCATTCAGATTTAAGCTTAAATCAAGAACCAAGCCTCTTAATTTGAGCGGATTTCCTTTTGATTTAAGCTTAAATCTGATTGAATCAAGAGTCCTTTTTCTTGTCGATGTTTTCAAGAGTCTGGACTCTAGATCCAATGTGTTTTTTTTCCCAGTGTGAAAAAACTTCGCTTCATAAAGAGTGCGAGGAAAAAAACCCTGGAGACAATCGGTTAAACACATTTTTTTTCGACAGAAAACAATTGTCTTTGATTAAAAGAAAACTTTTTCGAGTGGAGGAATTCTCCTTTTAAAATGAAGTTTCAATTGGACCAGCAGATTCGCCAGCAATTTAGCAGAAAGGAATCAAGCCTTATCAGAAATTGCTTTAACTGGGCATTTCAAATTTTAACGAGAGAACGTTTGTGCGGATTCCTTTAAAAATCGTAAGGAATTTGCTTCACACTATGCAAAAAATCTACCGAAATTTACACTATAATCCGCACAACCGTTTTCATGTAAAAAGTTTAATTGCCTAGTTCAATTTGGCAATAGCTGACGTGGCTTGGTTCCTTTCTACTTAAAGTGGTCAAATTCAGGGAACATATTGTCATCGACGGCAAAATTACGTTTTTTACCGAAAAGAAAAACTTCATTTGAATGCAAAAGAAGAGGAGGAGAAAAAAATCGCTCGGAAAAAATTTCTCTCCGTAAAATAAATGTCTCTGTACTTATAATCAGAGATTTTGTTTTTTTTAAATTCAAACACTTTTTTTTAGCAATTTTTTTCAATACTGCCGAGAAAATATTGCTGAGTAGCATAAACAGCGATCTTGAAAATGCTCTCTTTGCGAAGTGCGGAACTCCTCTCCCAGGGTCGCATTCGCTGAGATCAGGTATCCCACAGTACGTTTTATCTACTTTTAAAATCATACCGATTACTGCTTGAAGATGACTACTTAAGGACATCATTTTCTTACTTGGACAAATTATTTACCAAATTGTTACTTTAGAAAATTAAAACGATTAATTAAAAAAATTGAGGTATAAAATTGTCATAGATGATGGAAAAAGAAAAGAAGAAGAGAAGTGAAAAAAAAGACGACCGTACGATACGTTTGCAACAAGTTTTAGATTTAGGAAGACCAGTTATACTTGTCTATGTGCGTAACGGTAGTATTTGACTGCATGAACTAGGCCCAACAAGTTCTTGACACTGAATACACGGTCTACATTCTAATTTGGGCGTGACACGGCTCGAAATAAAGTTTACACCGCCGTTTAGGCTGCAATCAGGATCAATTTCGTGGAAGTCGTGGCAGCCACATACTTAAGTCCGATGCATACTTTTATGCGATCGCGATATACGCCATCAAGAGAGAGTTACAAGGAAAGAGTTCTGGATGAGATGAAATTATAGACGACGTAAAATGAGTATACACTGGAAAAAAATATCGGTGTATTTACCAAGAAAAGGGTAAAATTACCAAGAATTCAGGGTTCTATTTGATCCCAGTTTTTTCTTGGTAAAATTACCATTTATGGAATTGGTAATTTTACCGAGAAATCTCTGTAAAATTATTGACTTTCTCGGTAATTTTACTGATCCCCGGTAAAACGCCAATATTTTTTATCGACTGTGGTAGAATTACCGAGATAAAATGGCAAAGATACCGGGAATTGAGTACCAATAAAAGTGGTATTCTCACCTGAAAAAACAGTAAAAATACCGGTTTTTAGGTAAGGTTACCAGTCTGTCTTGGTAAAATTATCAATAATTGGTAAAAAAAAGTGAGATGGTAAAGGTACCAACGGACCTTGGTAAAAACGCAGATAAATTTTTTTCAGTGTATTTGATTCAATTATTTTGCTTCTTTTCATTTCACGCAGTTTCCCATTACGATCAATGAAGACACTTTGTCTTACAGCGTAAAAGTCTGGCAACTCATGCTAGGACCAAAATTTGCGAAAGCAGAGCGCGATTCGAAAACAGGAACTAAAGACACTTGCGCAAATACTCCGCTAACAAGTGCTTCACCATGCATACGATAGGAGCGATCTAAATTCGCTGTCTTTAGAGATGCATCATAGTCAGGAAAAAACGAGTTAATTTCACCGATGACAAAACTACATCTCCACTTCGTAAAACAGTGAGGATAGCAACTATAGTTTTATCTTCGATTCACGTCTAAACTTCACGTTTCTTCCGGCACGCAACTTCTCCTTCCCACGTCAAAATTGTGTGATATCTCACTTCACCAATTTTTTCTAGAAAAATAGAATAGATTCATCGTCCGCTTTTTATTTTAAATTCCTTGTCTCATTCGGCGTTTCGCAGGCGAAAGAACGTACCTACATTCCAAAGTCACAAAATTGACTCGAGAAATTAAATTATTAATTAATATTGCAAGGTGCGCGCATGTGCACTTTCTGTCTGAAATGTTGCTGATTTCTGTGCGCTGTTAGCAGGAAAATCAATGGAATTATTAGTTAAAACCGCACAACTGTTTTCTGATAAAAATAAAATTAGCGAGTGAAAATTTTACATGAAATCGATATAAATCGATCGAAAAATGAAAACGTGAATCGATTGATGTGAACCGATCGACTCATGTTTCTCCATGTTTTATTCCAAAAAGATGAGGCTATCTCCAACTACCAATCTCATGCTAAGAACATGAGCTTTAGTGGAATAACACCATAAGAAAAAATGCAATTGACTTACAGGAACACACGTAGTTCATTGATAGAAATTGAAATGACAAATACCGAACAAAACAGACTGAAGATATCTTGACTCAAAAAGGATGATGAGAGGGTAGAAAATGTACGACACAAGGACAATCCAAAAACCACTTAAGCTTCCACTCTAATACATACTGAAAATATGCTCAAAACTGCATTTCTATGGTAACGGTGACGCAACAACACCGATTCAATGGACAACCGTGAATCGATAGAAACCCCGTAAATCGACCGACAAATCCGTGAATCGATCGACAAAATCGGTGCGTAGATCGACAGACCAGTGAATCGATCGAAGAACCTGTAAATAAATCGGATCGGCGTCGATCAAATCACGTTTTATAACCTTTCGATCGATTCGTGTCGATGGAATCGACACCATTTTTTTTAATAATTTCTCGATCGATTCACGTTCTATTTTTTCGATCGATTCATGTCGATCGAATCCATACCCTCCAGACAAAAGTAATATGGCAGGCATAAAAATTATCGACAGCGGTGACAAAATCTCATGTTACTTTAAGTTAGTACAATCCACGGTGCGAGTCTTGGGATCAGTTGAGCTTGTGGATTGTTATGCTTGATTTATTTTTACTCGGACCGTCCGAGTCCAGTGCACTGGAATTTCATGAGGTGGGATTAATCAGAGGATATACGAATGACCATTTCCTATAAATAGGATCGATGGAAACTAAAGGCAAGCCGCGCAAGGTATGCACCAGCGCTGCGGCTCAAACAAGCAAAAATTTCGACGAAGCTCTTGCACTGTGTTGCCGCCATTCACACAGATTTAGTGATGCAATTTCCACGCCGAAGTTGTCCAAAGTGTTTTGTCTGACCAAAAATCGTCACCTCGTAGTCAACCTGGTTTCTGAAAATTCGTTTAAGGGTGGTCTGTTACCGACTATAAAATAATAAAATGGTTCATTTCTGCCTCTTCGTAGTTTGAACGGCAAGTTTTCTGTTTTGAAAAATTCGGATACAGAAAGAAAAAAAATAAAAAACCAACAAGATAAGTTCTTCCTTTTAAGTTCGGTAGTGATATTCTACAATTTTTTTAATGACAAATTTCATTTAGAAAATTTTCACGTTTTCAAGAATTTTATTGCATGAGTTTGATTTTCATTTTTTGAAGATATTAAGAAACGGCTACTTGGTGGCGAAACGAATTGTAGGGTTTGAAAATTCCTCCTACCTTTTTATTATTTGAGTGAATAGTGTTGTTTTGCGCGAAATTTCGGGAGGATTTTGTTAAAGGAACGAATTACATTAAAATTTACAAAATCAAAAATAGTAAGTTACCGGCCCAACATGATCGGAGACAAGAGCTTGAAGCAGAAACGTCTCAAAAATACGGCAGAAACGGTAAACTTAATCACTGCATTAATGTCCGATATAAAATATTAAAAACTACAGTTAATGTAACCGGTGGGTTTTATTCTTGGTCGGCGCGACGATAGATTCTGACGAGCTCTGATTAACTTTGAAGAAATAAAACGACCGAAGGGTTAAAATATTTTTGGTGTAATAAAATGAGTATATACTGACGAAGGCGCGCAAGTTTTGAAAATTTAACAACTCCGGTTCAGAAGGATGTCATGCTCGTTTTGGAGCACCTAATTAGTTAGAGAACACTAATTAGGTGCTCCGCATTTGCCCGGTTCTCCGATTCCTGAAGCCACATTTTGAACAATTAGTTATTAGACCTCTGAATTTCATAGGAAGCTGTGAGAGACCGAAACTCAAATATAGGAATGACTCACAGGTAAGACGTTTAAAAAGTAGTTGCATTTTCTGATTTATTGCAACGAAAAATTTTGTGCGCGGTCGAAAAAAAATAAGCTCCTTCACGGGTGCTTACATTTTGACCATGCGAACTTTAACAACAGTCTCCAATTTAGAGGAATAGTGCTGTCTGAAGCGATGAAAAGTGGCAACACTGGCGCAATTGCAGTAGCGAGCAAAAATGCGACCAAAGAGCCACCAAAATAAACTTTAAGCATCGCGATGTTCGCGCGCCTTTCGGAGACTCCGAGAATTTTTCGAGACTAACTCAATGATTTGTCCGCGAAATTGAGGGAGTTGACCTATGAAAATTC